TTCTGAAGCTGCACCCAAATATGTGTCCATCTGTCACTCATCCCCACTGCATTTCTGTCAATCATATTCTGTTTTATTACACTGAGTAGGCTATATATTAAATGTGAAATTAAGGTAAAGTAATTTAACACCCAGTTTTTAAGAGCAATAAATTTGTATACTATGGAGAATATATTTTATATTTTCTTTGGTGTGTGTATACACACACACACACACACACACACAGAGTACGGTCAGTAAGATTTTTTAAAGAAATTAATACATTTATTCAGCATTCATTAAATGAATCAAGTGACCAAAGATACATTTACATTGTTACAAAATAATTATATTTGTAATGTTATTTTAGCCTTCTATTTATCAAAGAATCCTGAAAAAAAGAGATCATGTTTCAACAAAAATTCAACTACAATAATAAGAAGAAATGTTACTTGAGCTCCAATTAGCATATTGGAATGATTTCTGAAGGATCATGTGACTCTGAAGACTGGAGTAATGGCTGCTGAAAGTTCATCACAGGAATAAATTGCATTTAAAATGGTAGCACTTTAGTATAGGGACCAATTCTCACTATTAACTAGTTGCTTATTATCATGCCTATTATTTACATATTGCTTGTTTATTAGTACTTATAAAGCATTTATTCCACATGTACTTATTCTACATCCCTAATCCTATACCCAATACCTAAACTTACTGTAACAACTACCTTACTAATAATAAGCAACAAATTGGGAGTAGTTAATGGTTTGTTAATAACGAGAATTGGAGCTTAAAATAAAGTGTGACTACTAGTTATTTTAAATTTACTGTATTTTTTAACATTGATCAAATAAATGCAGTGAGCATAGCAGACTTCTTTAATCACGTATGACTCCAAATGCTCAAGTGACCAAAGATACATTTACATTGTTACAAAATAATTATATTTGTAATGTTATTTTAGCCTTCTATTTATCAAAGAATCCTGAAAAAAAGAGATCATGTTTCAACAAAAATTCAACTACAATAATAAGAAGAAATGTTACTTGAGCTCCAATTAGCATATTGGAATGATTTCTGAAGGATCATGTGACTCTGAAGACTGGAGTAATGGCTGCTGAAAGTTAAGCTTTGCCATCACAGGAATAAATTGCATTTAAAATGGTAGCACTTTAGTATAGGGACCAATTCTCACTATTAACTAGTTGCTTATTATCATGCCTATTATTTACATATTGCTTGTTTATTAGTACTTATAAAGCATTTATTCCACATGTACTTATTCTACATCCCTAATCCTATACCCAATACCTAAACTTACTGTAACAACTACCTTACTAATAATAAGCAACAAATTGGGAGTAGTTAATGGTTTGTTAATAACGAGAATTGGAGCTTAAAATAAAGTGTGACTACTAGTTATTTTAAATTTACTGTATTTTTTAACATTGATCAAATAAATGCAGTGAGCATAGCAGACTTCTTTAATCACGTATGACTCCAAATGCTACTACATGTGTACACACACACACACACACACTTTTCACTTAATAACAGTGCAAATAGTTATTCAAAAATATTTAATGGCATCACATTTTACTACATGTGATATAGAAAATTGATATTTACATTTATAATTATATATTTACAGGAATATATATTAAAATGTTTTTATATATTTGTTCATTTATACCTCCATGAAATGTGTACAATTATAATTCATGTAATTTTATTACGTTATTGTGTGTGGAATATTGGGGGGAAATTCTCTCCACTTTTTGCTATCTGGCCCCTTATCTAAATTCCTTCTCAGATCCTGACTGACTGGAGACATGACACAGATTTGGACATTAGGTCATAAAATAGGCTCCAGGTCCACTTTGAGAGCATTGGTGCAGACAGGAACACTTTACCAGACACAATATTAAGAGAGCTTTCTCCATCTTGCACCCACACACATTCTTACTGCCACTTCTGACCCTTATCGTTTTTTCCCCCTTCCAATTTAACTCTTACATGGCACTACTTGTGATTGACAGATAAACAGCTTTAGCTTTAGAAGTTTTATTTAGGAAGATGCAGGTTTTTAACAAACTGTAGTCTATAAACGATTGTTGGATTTGTGCATTGACACACTAACAGTCATGTTAGCACACCTGAGCTTGTTGCAGTCTGACCTGTCTTACCGCCTCATTTGTCATCTCCAATCACAAGCTCTTTTGAGCGGAGCTGAAAGACAAGGAATTATCAGCCCTTGCTTGGTGATGAGAGCTCAGCCTGCTGCTCAAAAGAGAAAGTATGTGAGAACACCAGCAAGTTAAACATGTAAGAACACAGGCAAACACACTCTTCTCTGTCAGTCCTCTGCAACATCCAAAGAGTGACTCATGCTGTTTGCATCAAATATTTCGGACATTTAGGCAATGATTAGCAATGCAATCTGATGACCTATTTTTATTTATTTATTTAATGTATGTATGCCACAAGACTGATGTGATGTCTGATTATGTCTCTCTGTATAGGAGAGATTTAAGATAATGCAGAATTGTTATTACAGGAATAAGACAATATATATATTCTATTTTGTCAGTTACCAGTGATAACCAAAAACCATTTTTTGTGAGTGCGGCCTTAGTACACTAAGCCATTTTGTATGTCTCCCTTATAAGACACACCCAAGTAATGTTTTGCAGTCTCTACTAATGAGCTGATGAGTTGAAGGGATACATACAAAATGTGCAGGGCTAAGGGTCCTCCAGGACAGGTTTGAGAACCACTGCATTAAGCCATATTCAAAATTTTGATTTAAGCTCAAATGACAGATGCTTTGCCAAATAGCAATGGCGCAAATCACAACTTCAGATTTCTTTTATGTCATCCAAGGTGTAAAAATATTGGTAGCACTTAAGGTTCTATTTGTTAACATAAGCTTACTGCATTAGTAAGAATGAAAAAATACAGTATATGCATTGTATACTTTCATTACGAACAATGGAAAAGACTTCTGAAGCATTTATTAATCAGTTAATTTCAACATTTACTAATATTACTAATATTAGATTAGACTGCCACAGGCTAGATTACTGAGAGATTCTGCATCATATTAAGATGAATATTTTAGGATAACTATGTACTGTATATGATATATTGTATGTATTAATATAAATAAACAAATAGGCATATAATAATAATGACCACTGTCCCAGGCCACACTGAATAAATGATCACTTGTCTGAAAAAATCTGTCTTTCCTTCATAAGGGTGATACCTGACCTTCATGTTTCATGTTGAGGTCCCGATCATCCTGTCAGGTTTTGTTGCGTGATAATGTTTGATTGTATTCTATTATACACATATACATGACCAATTTCGGGCATGAAATACAAGTAGATTTACAAATATGTACTTTCAGTCACAGTATCTGCAAGGCACACTGTTAGTCTTTGGTGTGTTTGCCGACACGCAGTAAGTCTGGGAACAGGGTAAATGTTTGCATTGTGGCCGTGAAAGAGTGAAGCTTGCTGGTTGGTTTGTGTTCATGGAGGGGTGGGGTAGAGCATAGGGTGGATATGATATGCCTCGCTGACTGTAAGTACAGTTGTAGGCTGAAGTGACACATCCCTGCGTGCCAGTGTCTGGGCGGGCCATGTGGGGGTGGAGGTGGAGAGTATCGGTGGCTGAGAAGCAGTTAAAAGCGTTTGGTCAATGCTATTAATATCTTCAAATCCCAGTGAATGGGTGCCAAAATTGCAAAACCCCAAAGATAACAACATGGAAATCACCACAGTTTGTTATTTATATTCTTTCAATCTAGTATCATTATTATATTATAGTAACTGAAATTATATGAAGTAATAATATTTCCGAAACAACTTGTAATGTTTTTAGTAGTAGAAATGGACAAAGTGTTCCTTCTGTAAATAATTACCAGTAAGAAACAATTTGTTTATTTTGATAACTCAGACTGCTCCAGCATGTTCCACTTTCCATTTGGTACTTTATCAAAAATAGACATATCTGATGTAGATGGTGACAAATGATAACCTGAAATATGTCATTTTGACCTCTGACCTCTAATTGAAACAGAAAGAAAAACTTGCTAAAAATTCAAAATCTCATACAAATATTCAAGAAAGTTTAATGCGCCCATGGGCAATTACACATCAGTGAAATTTGTTCAGAATTTGATGTCGCTAATTTAATTTTTTTTGCGTTAAACAAAGACAAATATTCAGTCTGTGTAGTGGCAGCAGCACCTACTGGTTTGTCAAACAAAATACACTTACTCCACACAGCACCATTAAACTGTCATTGTTTTTTTTATTGTAGTTGCACTATATTTCATTCTCAGTACAAGCCTAACAATTCAGATGGGTCACTGAAAATTCATGCTGGAGTTGATATGCAGTGCTTTCTGACTAAACACTCCCCCAGAACTTTAATAAATATCCAGTGTCTATTTTATATCTAGTGGTAAATGCTTTAACACTGATCCAAAAGTAACACATGGTACTATAGTTACATGACTATACACAAATAGGAAATAAAACACAAAAATTTACTGTACAGACCTCACTGAGGATAAACAACAATTGAAAAAATATTGGAATGTCCTGCCAATACAAGATATGCTCATTTTATTATTTTTTTAATATAAAGGGGATCTTAGATTTGAAAATAATAAATACATCAACTAAACACACAAATCTTTTAAGAACACTATCTTATTCTGTCTGTGGAAATATTAGGTCAAATTATACATCATTTACAGTCAGAAATGAATCCTGGCCTTAAATCAGACATCAGGTGACACGTGTAATTTTTGTGATGTTAAAATATTTCCAGTTTAACATGGCGAGGTGCAACAACCATGTGTCAATCAGATCCTCAAAGAGTTTTAAAAAATGTTGCTCTGTGGCACTTTCAAATTCTGGCCTGTGTTTGAAAAAGCTGATTTTGAAGTCATTTCTTTACAGTTTTGTTTGTTGTGATTACTAGCACAAAAACTACACACTTCACCTTTACAAAAGGAAAAGAAAAATATATGAAAAATGTATGATATGCATAGTTTTATGGGTTCAGATAACATACTCAGGCATATAGTAATACACACACACAAAAGAATTTTGGGTTGCCTTTTAGCGGCCAGTTTACCATCTATGGAATGTGATATGAAAGCTTGAAAATGCCCACTGGATTCATGGACCATATAGAATGTTACATGACAGATAAATGACACTGTAACACAACAAATAAATTATTTGCTTAACTTTCCTTGTCTCATTTTTTTTCTTTGTTGCTAAATATTAATCTATTTTAAATAGTCAAATCTACCACCACTTAAAGGCTAAAATTTATTTTAGGACATTAAAGAAACATTGGAACATTTCACACTATGAACAGGAAATATGTATTTTGATTTGCAACTATTGCAATTTCAAAGAAAAAAATCCTTCAAATGTTTAATACTTCACATCACCTTGATCATTATTCTTCAAATAACTGTTCATAAATACATTATGCTAAGAACTTAAAAACCAAAATACATTTTATTGCAGATATTTTTAAAAAAGGGTTTGGATAAAGAGACAAATTCAAGGCTTGCAAAAATGAACACAGCGTCTGAACATACAGGAGGAATAGCAGCAGGCAATGCAGAGGTCAGATCAACCTCAAGAAAATTAAAGAAATTAATACAACAAAGTGGTGGCATTCCAAGTCAGGAATAATATTCCCAAAAGAGCACTCAATTGATTCTGTTGCTTATTTCCTTTGCGCAAGTACCACAGAGCTGTTTGTGCTGCTTGTTTTGGTTATTTTCTCTTCTTGCAGAAGAAGTGGTTTGATTGATTGGGTCATGATTAGGGTACATGCATAAGACTTAGTGGGGTAAAGCTACCAGGATATCTACATAGTTGACAGGGAAGAAGCCAGACTGCCCATTGATCCCTCCTTCATACCAGTTGTCATCAATCTTGCTGCTTAAGGTGATGATGTCACCTTCCTTGAAGCCTAGCTCACCCTCATTTTCAGGGTCGAAATCATAAAGTGCCCGACAGCAAGGCTGGTCCATTGGAGCTGAAACAGGACAAAAAAGTATTCTTTACAGGACAGAAAAAAAACAAAATCTTCCATTTCATAGATTTAATTATATTATTGGCTTACCTGGTGACCTGGAAGGGCCACTGTGCCCAATGTTCCCATTGTGGTTCTCACTGAAATCGATAGAAGTGCGAGGTTTGGGGACATACTCTCTTCTTGGCTTATTAGAAGCCTCTCTTATTCTGCCCCCCAAAAAATATAATAATCACAAAATTAACATTTAATTATTTTTTAAATCACAAAATAACATTTAAAAATTAACAATTAATCACTCATGCCACCAAAACACATAAAATAAGTCATTTTTATTTAAGAAATGTTCCACCTTCTGAGCAAGCCTAAATGCAAAGCATGTTTTTTGTGTATTTTCATAGTCAGACTTTCATCAGTTGCCACTACAGGCAACTTAAGTGCTTTACCAAACCATACCTATCGAGAACAGTTGGGGTCATTCACACAGGATGTTTTCATGTTCAAATACAGATGGTGAGCAACAGAATGAAACTGAATGTGGTCTCTAGATGTGTTGAACTATTTTTTACTTCACACAGTGTCTGAAAAATGTGACAGTCTTGATGTGAGATGTGATGCAATACAGCGAGATGCACCGCAACACCCAGGTGCAGGTGGGATACAAAAATGCATCCTGTGTGAAGGCCCCCCCACAGGCTACCTCTGACAGATTGACAAACTCCAAAACCGACTGCTATGAACTGTAGGCTTATGAATTGAATGCAATTGAAATAGAAAAATTGACTTTGTAAGTGTTTGTTTTAATGACTATATTCAGTGCTTTCGTCTGCCACAAAAATGTGACATTCTTGAATTGTATTCATTTGAAGGCTTTTCTCAGCAAAGTGATTGGCCTATGTGCGATTAATTACAAATATTTTTATCACATACTGTATCTTATCATGCAATTCATTTGATAAAATTTTTCTAATTGATTGCACAATCTAATAAAATGCTTTAAAGTACAATCAAAAAATACAATTTAACATTATTACTAGGGTTGTGTCTTTTTTTAAACAATTATTTGCACATGGTTTGTGAGTTAAAACAGTGAGTACCACTGATTGCGCCACTGTACCTAATCTTCAGACCAAGTCTGCAAAACTGCAAACACATTAATTGCTTTAGTTAACTGTAAAACAAGCCTTATAAAAAAAACTGTTCTCTACAGTTTTAAAACTCTATCATTTAAAACTAAGAGGTCTCATGTTGGAAACAGTGCCATTCAAAATGCCACACCAATTTACCAATTACAATTAGTGCTCATGTGTACAAACACTTACAGCTAATTTGTGCACTTAGAAATAATTTCTGTTTACAGTGTAAATACATACTGAATAAACATACATAAAGTACAGTGTAAGCAAAATTATGTGCGCTACACCACCCTGAACATGCAAAAGAAGATTGCAGTTTTTAACATTTGTCACATCTATGTGTAGTTGGAGTGTTTAAGAGCTAATCATTTAGCAGTTTTTGTTATGGAGCAAAACACCATTTTAAAGGGATAGTTAACCCAAAAATGAAAATTTGATGTTTATCTGCTTACCCCCAGGGCATCCAAGATGTAGGTGACTTTGTTGCTTCAGTAGAACACAAACGAAGATTTTTAACACAAACCGTTGCAGTCTGTCAGTCTTATAATGGAGGTGAATAATAGGTGAATAATTTTTGTAAAAACAACAACAACAAACAAAACCAAATTAAACCCTGCTGTTCGTGACGATACATTGATGTGCAGATACACAAAACGATTGGCGTCCTGAGCGGCGGCGCGTTCTCCTGAGCACATTCTCAACAGCAGGCACGTGAGGCGGCTTCTTCTTCTTGCTTTACGGCAGATCGCAGACTTATAAGTGCGTTACCGCCACCAATCTCTCAAATGGACCATTGACACTTTATCTACAATATCAATTAGGAGTGTCAATGGTCCACTTGAGAGATAGGTGGCAGTAATGCACTTATAAGTCTGCGATCTGCCGTAAAGCAAGAAGAAGCCGCCGCCTCACGCGCCTGCTGTTGAGAACGTGCTCAGGACAGTTCGAACATTGTGTGAATCAGAGGTAAAAAACTGTTCAGTTTCTTGCGAAGACCAATAGTTTTGTGTCTTTACAAATTAATGTATCATCACGAGCCGCAGGGTTTAATTTGGTTTTGTGTATGTTTTTTTTTTTTTTACTCTCAAAGCCTTGATTCCCATTCACCTCCATTATAAGACTGACAGATGCAACGGTTTGTTAAAAATCTTCATTTGTGTTCTACTGAAGAAACAAAGTCACCTACATCTTGGATGCCCTGGGGGAAGCAGATCAACATCAAATTGTTATTTTTGGGTGAACTATCTGTAATGGGACCATGATTTGGGCACTACAAGTTCCAGCAGCCCCAGCGTTATACAAGGAAGTAGTGAAGTTTGTTTGCTCTTTCGCTTCCACTTTTGATTTTGGGGATGTCGTGGCAGATTTAGAAGTTGAAAAGAATGGTAGGTAATGAGATCTGTTTGTGAGAGGTGCTCTCGCACTTCTTCGCTACTTTTATTGATTGCATTCAGTGTATGAATTGATGTTGTGGCAGATATAGCACTTCAAAAGAATGGCAGCAGATAAGCAGTTACGTTAAATAATCCCGGAGCTTCGTCATGAACTGAACATTTTTATGTTTTAAAGGGGTCATATGATGCAATTTCAATTTTTCCTTTCTCTTTGGAGTGTTACAAGCTCTTGGTGCATAAAGAAGATCTGTAAAGTTGCAAAGACTAAAGTCTCAAATCCAAAGAGATATTCTTTATAAAAGTTAAGTCAGCCACACCTACCTAAAACGGCTCGTTCTAACATGCCCCCACATATCTACATCACTATGTGGAAAAATTTGCATAACGCCGCCCAAATGTTCACGCAAAGAAAGAAGGCGTAACTTTTATTCTGGCTGTAGTATTGTTGCTGCCGCCATGTTGTGAATGTGCTGTGTGATTCGTTGTGAATGCGAAACTACTTTGTTTGGCCTTCCAAAAGAGGACGATATCTGCTTCATCATGCCTGGAGCTGATCCGTGCTGGTCACTGAGGAAATACTTCAACTTCGTGCTGTCGATCGCTGGATCGGCTTTCACCGTGGACGAAGCGGAGTCCAGCCCAGGGTAGTCACATATGGTTGCCGCAAGCCCTCCGGACGCTCCTTCATCGAATCCGCCGCCTCTGCTCACTCAGCCCGCCGGCCGTTCCTCACTTTATCCCCCGGCCTCTGCTCACTCTAGCCACCGTGTGTGACGCTGTGTTTCATTGTGAAAGCGAAACTACTTCGTTTGGCCTTCCAACAATGGACACGACTAGAAATCAGTGGTTAAGTATTTACAACACTGTTCCAGAACACTTCAACCCAAATATTCAGATGTGTGCAGCACATTTTATGGAGGACTGTTTACGCATGACATGGTTTTATGTTTACGCGGCGCGATGCAACGCAACGCGTAAAAAGACAGTCAAGTCATTATAATCCATAATTATGTCCCCACTGGATGCAACGAATGCCTCGTTTATAATGGGCGTTCATGTTTTTGAATCATCGCTCTGGCCTGACAGGGCATCATCACAATGTGGTAAGGGGTGTAACATTTCCGTCACACGCTTGAGGTATTCGTCCAATCAACGCATTGGATAGCTGGCCAATCAGAGCACACCTCGCTTTTCAGAACGATGAGCTTTGTAAAAATCTACACGTTTCAGAAAGGCGGGGCATAGAGGAGAAACAATAATGTACAGTATGTGGAAAAGAATGTGTTTTTTTTAACCTTAAACCGCATAAACACATTTCATTACACCAAATACACAAAATAATGTTCTTTTTAGCAGCATCATATGACCCCTTTAAATTATGTGTAGTATTTATAGTGAGTGCATTTTATTTAAATTATGTGTTTTTATATCTTCATATTCATTTGTTGTAATAGACTGTGTTTTCCCTTTTAGGGATGCACGGTTACCATTTACTTTAGATTTAATACTTATGTTATTGTTTTTCATTTTCTTTTGTTCTGTGAATTTGGGACCCAGAGTGGCAGAAGAGAGATTAAGTCCCAAAGAAACTGGATTAATAGTGCCTGTTACACTATTGACTTGTATTTGTGTCACCTGCATTGCCCACTGTTAATTAAGTTGTTTGTTTTCTTTTGTAGGTTTAGTTTTGGGTTCTTAAGCCAATGGTGGCCACGGCGTTGCCCTCACTGTGTGGATGGCGGTGGTGAGGTGGCTGGGATTGTGTAGTGGTGTGATCACATTATTTCAATTTTTTCTGTAGGTCTGCAGTGTGATTGCTGTGAGCCTGATTGTTGTGAGAACACTTTTGCTCTTGTGCCACTTTGTCTTCACTTTCTGGGTAACCTGTGGCCTTCTATAGTTGGTTTTCGTTTTGTTGTTTCTCGTTTATCTTTTACTTTTATTTTTCTCATGTGGGTATTTGCATCAAAGATTGGTGATGTGATGTTTTAATACTTTTGACCTATCTGAATAAAAATGTGCCTGTTGTTCAAAGTCACCTCATGGCTCCTTTCGCCTGGTTACTACTGACTTCTTTGGGTCATTCCACCACATATCCCTTTAAGGACTCATAATTTCAGAAATCATATGTATGCAATTGTCAAAAACTGTTTGTACAAGTAATAACATAAAATTAATAGTCAAATGAATTGTCATAAACATACTTTTAACTTTTTAAGAACGGATGCCTGTAATTGCATGTTTTATTGTGAGAAGGGAGATCTTCCATTCAAACATTAAACTAGTTTTAGGATTTATTCCAGAATACAGACCTGTCCTCTAACTTGCTGGACAGCTGCTGAAGGATCTCTGTGGCCTGTCTGTGGTAGTTCACCTGAGCTTGGACCAGAGCAGAAATCTGACTCACTTGTTCAATCTGCAGAAACAGTTAGAACATCAACAGCTATTACGCATGAAAGCAAATAATGCCTTACTGATTGTATATCAAGGTCAATACTAACAAACAATGGCTACATTTACATGCACCCTTATAATGTAGTAAAGGCAGCACTGAAGTATTGCAAGCTTGTGTAAACACTGTGATGATGATTACATTCATATTTAGAGTAACCATGAATCACAGTAAATATGTTGAGTATTGCGTTTTTAATCTGACTATACGCTCATACATGGGTTCGAAAACATGCTGGAACAGAAGAAGCCACACTTTATTGGCATCATGCACATTGATGTTCAGGAATGTGCCTGAAGTGTGTCCATTCTAGTGTTTCCGACCATCAATAAAACACATAATGTCCATGTTGTGTAAAACTATAAGCATGAACTCAGTTTCCTGAGTTCCCCAGAAGTGTGGCTTCTGCAAAATGAGGGAGACCGTGTACCCTAGAACTGGCGAACAGGTCCATGAACGCAGGAATGCTTGAAGGCTGCCTATTTTAAAGCAAAAACATCACACCTCTTAGCAAATAATCTAAATAATGGCAAGTATCATGTAAATGGGACAAAAATGTTTGCCCATTTCATATAAACTTAATTCTTACTTTGATTACTGGTGGTAAACAGACTGTTAACCATGTAGACATAGCCATTGTGTAAGATGAACTGATCAATGAAAACAAGTGAATCCTGTGACTTATTGTGGGTTATTACTTCAGAATAAAAGGAAAGGTGTAGTGGGAAGACTCACTGGACATTGGGACAGATGAAAGTAAAATGAAACTCTACAGAAGCATGAAATGGATTGTGAACAAGGGCAAGCACCGGTCAGGTCACAGATCTTACATCACTCTCCAGAAGGTTAAACATGCTTTGTTCGGCAACCTCCTTTGAGTCATCAAACTTCTCCAAGGCCTGTTTGATCTCATCTTCTGTGACTTTTCCTTGCCTTTTCTTCTTATAGTCAAAGTCCAACCGTCGCCCTTCCAACTTCTTCAGGTGATGCTGTCATAATAGAAAAAGATGCAATGTTCAGTTACTGACCTCTAGTGACATTCAGTTATACTGTCTCCATCAACAGCTGTGACAATAAAGTATGATCAAACACCCTATGACTTCTTCAAAGCCATTTCAAATACTGATAAATATTCTCACTGTAATGTAATAATCAAAAGAACATTTAAATCTCACAGGCTATCTAAAAACTGTAGCCTCAACTGAAGTTTATCCAAAATCTAACTAAATATCAGTGACTGACATGGGAGAATCATTTGTATTTAAAGAGGTCATGCATACATTTTTATTATTTATATTCAGTTCAAATATGTGACCCTGGACCACAAAACCAATCATAAGGGTCCATTTTTCTGAAATTGAGATTTATACATCATCTGAAAGCTGAATAAATAAGCTTTCCATTAACATATGGTTTGTTATAGTAGGACAAGTTGGTCGAGAAACAACTATTTGAAAATCTGGAATCTGAGGGTACAAAAAAATCTAAATACTGAGAAAATCGCCTTTAAAGTTGTCCAAAAGAAGTTCTTAGCAATGAATATTAGTAATCAAAAATTAAGTTTTGATATATTTACGGTAAGAAATTTACAAAATATCTTCATGGAACATGATCTTTACTTAATATTCTGATGATTTGTGGCATAAAAGAAAAATCGATAAATTTGACACATACAATATTCTTTAGGCTATTGCTAAAAATATACCCCAGCGACTTAAGACTGATTTTGTGGTCCAGGGTCACATATTGTTAGTATAGTCACTAAAATCTAAATACAGTTACGACTGATGACCATTTGTGTCTCCTTTCTCTGACCTTAGAATTAAATGAGACTGATGTGTTGTGAGACTGATTTTTGCTGATGTGTGTGAAATGAGATTTAGCCCTTTTTACTCTCAAGCTGCTTCCAGTATATTTTATAACAGCCCAAGCCATCTGTCATCCAGCAACCTCTTTGTGTCAAGTTCATGAAACAACCCACACTGCCACTGAAACTGTTAAGGTTGAAATGAAATGAGCAGTGACACTGCAACTATTTTCCAGGAGGGATAATTGCCACAATTAATGATATGGTATGACAATGACTTAATTTGAATGCAGTGCAGTGCTATTTCAGAGCTTTTAAGAGTCAGGTTAGACTGGATTGTGAAAAGTTAGTGAATAAAACAGATTTTTACACTGAAATATCGCATGCAAAAGGAACACAACTGTGAATTTTCCGTTAAGAGGTCATAAGACAAAATGTTGGAGGGGTAAACATTTTGTCTTACAATAAGAAAAATGCAATAATTTCTTATATCTCACCTGGATTTCTTTTAAGTCTTTATCATGCATATTCTGCAAGGGATCAATAAAGTTTTGCTTGACCTCCATGTCTAGAGCATCTTTAACTTCACCTAGCTCTCGCATGGCTTCTCCAACATCGATCAGAGCCAGACCTGTAAAACACAAGTGTACATTATATCTCTCTCTATAATATAGCTGTATCTTTTAAGGGCAAATCAGTGAGAATCCAATGCACTGAATTAAGCAGTTTTTAGTTATTCATATACTAACACAAAACTAATAGATCTGGTTATGGTGATGATAGATTACTTGATTTTAAATTGGTTTCAAAAAAATCTAAATACTGAGAAAATCGCCTTTAAAGTTGTCCAAAAGAAGTTCTTAGCAATGAATATTAGTAATCAAAAATTAAGTTTTGATATATTTACGGTAAGAAATTTACAAAATATCTTCATGGAACATGATCTTTACTTAATATTCTGATGATTTGTGGCATAAAAGAAAAATCGATAAATTTGACCCATACAATATTCTTTAGGCTATTGCTAAAAATATACCCCAGCGACTTAAGACTGATTTTGTGGTCCAGGGTCACATATTGTTAGTATAGTCACTAAAATCTAAATACAGTTACGACTGATGACCATTTGTGTCTCCTTTCTCTGACCTTAGAATTAAATGAGACTGATGTGTTGTGAGACTGATTTTTGCTGATGTGTGTGAAATGAGATTTAGCCCTTTTTACTCTCAAGCTGCTTCCAGTATATTTTATAACAGCCCAAGCCATCTGTCATCCAGCAACCTCTTTGTGTCAAGTTCATGAAACAACCCACACTGCCACTGAAACTGTTAAGGTTGAAATGAAATGAGCAGTGACACTGCAACTATTTTCCAGGAGGGATAATTGCCACAATTAATGATATGGTATGACAATGACTTAATTTGAATGCAGTGCAGTGCTATTTCAGAGCTTTTAAGAGTCAGGTTAGACTGGATTGTGAAAAGTTAGTGAATAAAACAGATTTTTACACTGAAATATCGCATGCAAAAGGAACACAACTGTGAATTTTCCGTTAAGAGGTCATAAGACAAAATGTTGGAGGGGTAAACATTTTGTCTTACAATAAGAAAAATGCAATAATTTCTTATATCTCACCTGGATTTCTTTTAAGTCTTTATCATGCATATTCTGCAAGGGATCAATAAAGTTTTGCTTGACCTCCATGTCTAGAGCATCTTTAACTTCACCTAGCTCTCGCATGGCTTCTCCAACATCGATCAGAGCCAGACCTGTAAAACACAAGTGTACATTATATCTCTCTCTATAATATAGCTGTATCTTTTAAGGGCAAATCAGTGAGAATCCAATGCACTGAATTAAGCAGTTTTTAGTTATTCATATACTAACACAAAACTAATAGATCTGGTTATGGTGATGATAGATTACTTGATTTTAAATTGGTTTTAAGTATTTCAGCAATCACAGCCATTTCTTAAAACAACTTCTTCTTCAAAACACTTAGTGCTGGTCAGTTTTTAACAAACCCTCTTTTTATTCTCCAGAACATAGTCAAATGGTTTTCAAACATGACAAATTTATTTTTATACAACTGCACTTATAAATGCTTCCAGTATGTTAATATTTGACTGCTGTTATCACAATTCTTTCCTGCTAATTTCCACATTATTAGACATCTGCATATGCTGCAAACAGTTTGTCACTATGCACCAGTCAGTGAATACATTATTTGCATATCCTCAAGCTTTGTGTGATGATGATTAAAAAAACACAATGAGTTTTTGAATGGCAAAACCTTTTGTAATTTAATCTGAATAATCTACTAATTAAATGTAATTTAATTGCATGCAATGTAAGAATGTAGGCAGATTATTTTGTTTTAATGGGAGATTGAGAGCAAGCATCTAGTTTGGTTGAGCTGCTTTGTTAAGCTGCTCTTTACATGCGTGCTATAACTGATCTCTTGCATCATAGACAGCTTCATTTATTATAAATGAGAGTATTCTGATGTATCGTGCTGCATTGTCCATGTGGTGCAGCCACAAAAACAGCAACTACATTGTCAAAACAGTCTGGATTGTGGTTGTGGGTCATTGATAACCTTGTCATGGGCCAGATTTTGCCTGCTGGCAGGATGTTAAGCATCCTTGCCATACAGTCATTTCAGCCAACCACATTCCCAAAATGGTTCAGTTGTAGAGAGATGGTTCAATCTGACACAACCAACCAACAAATGAAGCTGTATCATAATTAATAATGGGAAACAGGTTATGTAAAAGGCAGCAGTGTCTGATTCTGTGAGTGAGCGAGTACATTACTACTTATCGCAGTTGAAACCAAAGAGCACCTATTTATCTTAATGTGGTCTAATTGCTGTTCTGATCAATTATAGTGGGAATGACAGATACATTGTATGTGCAACGACAGCTACAGAAAAAGTCACAATAAGCCCACAGAGATAACTTGCCCATCCATCTTGACGGATGATAATGAACAAATTAAACACATGTACTCTGACCAGTGAGAGGACAGTATTACTCACATGTGACTTGCATAAACATTTTGGTACAATTTTGGAAATGCTGCTGTGTGAAAGCAAACTGAACCAAGAAGAATACTTGTAACAATTTAAGTACCAAACTATCTACAGGTCTGAAAAGAGCCTTATTGACAGACCTGGTTGTGCCTTGTTTTGAGTGGTGTTGAGATGGCTTAAACATTTAAATATTAACACGTTATTTTCCTTATTATTAGTGAATTCTGCTAGCTGATGGATTTTTGCTCGTTACACATTAACATAAAGACTGAGTTTATTGTTTAATCTAGTTTGCAAACTAAGTAACCATTACATCAATAGAGCTTGCTGATAAAAAATATTTTGGAATAAGGCAGTTTACATTGTGTATGTTAATACTGCGCTTTATGTGGAAGAGCTGCCCACAAGGTTAAAAGCTCCGACATTGTGTATGGTCATAGCAAAGCAAGCATTACCAAAGCTGGATTCCTCCCCGAGTTCCCTGCCAAACTTTTGCATGGACTCTCCCAGGATGACTTCAGTCTGTGTGTAGCCAGTACCTTTATCTCCACCACGGATTTTAGACATGGAGCTGATCATACTCATTTTGGCACGAGTTGCTGAATAAACAAGCAAACAAAACAAAACAAAAAAAAGCACAAAATCATTAATGTGATGTACATTAGTGAGATTTTAATTTTTTAAAGCTAGGGATATACTGTATATACTATTACAAATTATTATTCACATTCACCTGGATTGGGCTGTAGGTACTCCGTTGTCTTGGTCATAATGTCCAACACCGCCCTTGTGGTGGCGTCAACTTTCTATGTTACGGTAAAGATGAAAAGATACAAAAATAGAAAAGAATGAATGTTTTTATTTATATTTATTTTAATGCCATGTCACCAGCAAGGATATCTTCATAGGGAAAACAGAATAAATAAAAGTCAAACAATTAACAAAAAGCTATATAAAGACATTTAAGGTTAATACTAGACAAAAATAACATTCATTCTTATTACCAGAATGTAAAACATAATTATACATTGCACATATGGCAAAAGCAGTGCCTGACATTACACAAACAGTTTCATGAATGGGGCCAATGTCAAGTTATTTTTTACTCCTATCTACATACCTTCTAATCATAATTAAGTGCTCTAGAAAGGAAATTCTACACTGAACAAAATTATAAATGCAACACTTTTGTTTTTGCCCCCATTTTTCATGAGCAGAGGAGAAGTGCTCACTAACACAGATTTAGACAGATTTGTGAACAATATTTGAGAGAAATAGGCCTTTTGTGTACATAGAAAAAGTCTTAGATCTCTGAGTTCAGCTCATAAAAGTGTTGCGTTTATAATTTTGTTCAGTGTATATTTATATATCTTTTGTTGCCTACAGACCCCAGTAGGTGCTCACTTCTCCATTTTGTCATCCATCTATCATTCCACTGTTTTTATCTTTATAAGAGACATACAGTGGGTACGGAAAGTATTCAGACCCCCTTAAATTTTTCACTCTTTGTTATATTGCAGCCATTTGCTAAAATCATTTAAGTTAATTTTTTTTCCTCATTAATGTACACACAGCACCCCATATTGACAGAAAAACACAGAATTGTTGACATTTTTGCAGATTTATTAAAAAAGAAAAAACTGAAATATCACATGGTCCTAAATATTCAGACCCTTTGCTCAGTATTTAGTAGAAGCACCCTTTTGATCGAATACAGCCATGAGTCTTTTTGGGAAAGATGCAACAAGTTATTCACACCTGGATTTGGGGATCCTCTGCCATCCCTCCTTGCAGATCCTCTCCAGTTCTGTCAGGTTGGATAGTAAACGTTGGTGGACAGCCATTTTTAGGTCGCTCCAGAGATGCTCAATTGGGTTTAAGTCAGGGCTCTGGCTGGGCCATTCAAGAACAGTCACAGAGTTGTTGTGAAACCACTCCTTCGTTATTTTAGCTGTGTGCTTAGGGTCATTGTCTTGTTGGAAGATAAACCTTCGGCCCAGTCTGAGGTCCTGAGCACTCTGGAGAAGGTTTTCGTCCAGGATATCCCTGTACTTGGCCACATTCATCTTTCCCTCGATTGCAACCAGTCATCCTGTCCCTGCAGCTGAAAAACACCCCCACAGCATGATGCTGCCACCACCATGCTTCACTGTTGGGACAGGTGATGAGCAGTGCCTGGTTTTCTCCACACATACCGCTTAGAATTAAGGCCAAAAAGTTATATCTTGGTCTCATCAGACCAAAGAATCTTATTTCTCACCATCTTGGAGTCCTTCAGGTGTTTTTTAGCAAACTCCATGCAGGCTTTCATGTGTCTTGCACTGAGGAGAGGCTTCCGTCGGGCCACTCTGCCATAAAGCCCCGACTGGTGGAGGGCTGCAGTGATGGTTGACTTTCTACAACTTTCTCCCATCTCCCGACTGCATCTCTGGAGCTCAGCCACAGTGATCTTTGGGTTCTTCTTTACCTCTCTCACCAAGGCTCTTCCCCCCCGATAGCTCAGTTTGGCCGGACGGCCAGCTCTAGGAAGGGTTCTGATCGTCCCAAACGTCTTCCATTTAAGGAATGGAGGCCACTGTGCTCTTGGGAACCTTAAGTGCAGCAGAAATTTTTTTGTAACCTTGGCCAGATCTGTGCCTTGCCACAATTCTGTCTCTGAGCTCTTCAGGCAGTTCCTTTGACCTCATAATTCTCATTTGCTCTGACATGCACTGTGAGATGTAAGGTCTTATATAGACAGGTGTGTGGCTTTCCAAATCAAGTCCAATCAGTATAATCAAACACAGATGGACTCAAATGAAGGTGTAGAACCATCACAAGGATGATCAGAAGAAATGGACAGCACATGAGTTAAATATATGAGTGTCA